ATGTACATGTGGTCGTCAATGGTGCCACCTGCTTTGATGGAATATTAGAAACCACTTATATGATGGTGTCAAAACATGTCCACGTTTCTGTCTACTCCGATATTCCACCAACCATAAAACCTTCATTTTTCACCCTAAGAGGCAGATTTTTATTTTACTTTTCCATTACTTGGCAACAATAGCAGCTTTAAAAATATAGAGTATAGTGCCAGTCAGGGACACATTTTAAGAGAATTTTTTTCTTTTTTTTTTTGCATTTATGGTTAATATTAGGACAGTCATTGACCAGGTATGATGATAAAACAACCAATAGTAACCCAACTGCAAGAGTTCTATAATATTGTTACTGGGTGTTATGTTCCTGCTTACAGTACGTAACTCCAACTGTCAATATGGAAGAACTCACAAGCAGAGTGAGTGGCAGTGAAGAACAACTTATTTATTTTCAAGGAATAAATAAATTAAATGAACAAAATGAAGGTGTCAGAAAGGTGTGGGGGAAGGGTCAGCTGTGGGGTCATGCCAAATCAAAGAAATAAATATAATAAAACAGGGCCTAACTCAAATCTTTCTGAAGGAAAATAAAATAAAAACAAAAGGCCTGGCTGTCTTAATAGTGATAGCAAAACAAAACTTACATAACCTAGTGCATGTAACAAAAAGAGAACTACATGTATAGGGTACCCTGTCCTACCTCAGCTGAACACCTTCCTACCACAAACCTTCAAAAGCAGACAGCAACATGCAAAAAGACAGCAAACAAGAGGCAGAGAGTGAACAAAGGAGCATGAGGGCTTATATAGGAGTATCCTCCACACCGATTGGACAACCGGCCAGAGCACGAGCCAATCATCCACTCCTCAGGTGGCTCACAGGTGGCAGTGGCAGGAAATCCACAGGTGTTGCCCATCTTCCAATAATCACCTGTAGGAGAGCGGTGGAGAGGGAGACACACACACACAAACCCTTCACTCTGCACGTAACACTGGGTTAAAAGGAAAATCGTGGTTTTCCAACTCATAGTCCATCCATTATCTATACACCGCTTAATCCTCATTAGGGTCGCGGGGGGGCTGGAGTCTATCCTAGCCGACTTAGGGCGAAGGCAGGGGACACCCTGGACAGGTCACCAGTCCATCACAGGGCTACACTTAGAGACAGACAACCAAGCACACTCACATTCACATCTACGGACAATTTAGAATCACCAATTAACCTCAACATGTTTTTGGACTGTGGGAGGAAGCCGGAGAACCCGGAGAGAACCCACGCTGCACGGGGAGAACATGCAAACTCCACGCAGAAAGATTCCGGTGCCCCCACCGGGACGCGAACCGGCAACCTTCTTGCTGCGAGGCAACAGTGCTACCAACTGCCCCACCTTGCAGCCCTCCAACTCATAGTGTTTCAAATAATTTTATAAAAAGTGGTGCCATAAGCACTCGACATACATATTTTTACTTTTGATTTCTTTATCAAGATCTGTTTTAATTCATTATAGTCACATAGAAACATTGTGTTGGTAAAATTAGAAGCAAATGATAATAATAATGTTGGTTATGACCCCATATTTTGCACGTTTTAAGCAGTAACATGCACAGAAAGACAATCAAACAAATATGAGGCGGTCATCTGTGAACTTTTTTTCTAGAAATGTGGTGAATTAAGGTGGAATAATCCCCAGTCTCTCCTGAACAATGGTCATCATGTTGCTTACTCTGGGTGTGAATGTCAGATTACCCAGTTCAGGAAGATTTCCAGTATTGGGAAGCTGTTTGCACTTTCTAAGAATTTCTCACAGTATGAAATCTGAGTTTCAAAGCGCTCCCACCCTCATCTATTCCCTCTAATTTCCTCGTCATTCAGAGCCCACAGATTTGCATCATGTCCAACTTAGCAGATAGTTCAGAGTCATTGTGGCCACGTTTTCATTCCTGCGTTCTTCGGATCCTGGCATCATGGAAGCCACACTTTGCATTAAATCGGCATGAAATTGCTGAAATATGTCCTCGGTGGTAAACAGTTTATTTGTAATAATATATTCAAGAGTTTAAAAAATAGAATTCGGTGCCAGTTGGTACCACAGTTTTATTGCGCTGCCATAGTAGTTTCATTTGAGCTGTAAACAGCTTCTCCACTTGGAGACATAGGAGCTCCAGACCAACTTTTCACATTAGTTGCTCCCAAAATATGTTTTCTTTTCCATCATCTCCCACACATGTTGGTAAATTCTAAACAGATTTTATAAAAAGGATTAAAGCTGCAGATAAATGTTTTGTTCTTTTTTTATCAGGGTGATCTGGGACTTTGCTTTTCTTGAGCTATTTTACAATTTTATTATGATTTCTGACTCCTCGTTGCTTCAGTTTGTCACTGCTTGTTGTTGAAGTGCTGCAGTGAGGGGGATTTTACGTTTACCAGCCATACTTTGGCTACACTCTTTACAGAAAATGCAATAAATATTGTTAGCCGTTTTTATCATATTCCAGTGTTTCCTGCAGTTTAAAAATTTACTAGTGGTGGTCGGTGGTGCGGCTTGACTGATATGCATGCAATTTGGAGTGGAGAGGGTAAACCAGGGTATTTTTCTGATGCTGCAATTTACAGACGCATGGCAATAAATCAGAGAGACTGAGAGCCAAAAAACAAACTGAAAATAGTTAGGTAATAATAATAAGATACCCATAACATGTAAAGCTGATAGTAATTTCTAGTTTTTATCTGTTGGAACTTGCAAAAATCTCTTGTTTATTTAACAATGATAAACTTTTTACATCAGGTTGTTTAGAAAACTAAAAACTGAGCCATGACTGACTCAGCTGGGACACAAGACAAGACATTGGAGATTTTTCGGAGCAGCAAGAGCAGCAAAGAGGACAATAACAAAGACTGAGAGGAAAATCAAACATACTGGATCAATAAAATCCATGAAGCATGGCTCACAAACAGTGAACAGAGGAGCAAGTTGTTGGACGATACATTCAACACGGTGAAACGTCTTTCTAGAGTTAAAATACAGAGTAGAATAAAAAATAATAAAAAAAAACAGTAGCAGTTGCTGTAAAATATCCAGTATTAGTAACCTCTTTGGGCACATTTTTCAATATTTCTCAAGCAAATAATCCAAAAAGTTCTGCTTTTTTTTTTGTCTTTTAAAAAAAAAAAAGATTTATGGCATTAAAAATGGTCTGATGCTTCACAGAAGCATCTCTCTTGTTCTCTCTGCTTGTATTCATGGTTGTGCTCTTTCATGTGAATGTAATATTCCGATTTGTGCACATTTTCTAAAAGACCACAGAAAAGAATGTGCACAGTGTTTAACACTAAGAAAAACAGACCGGAGAACTGCACTCAGTAAAGGAGGAGGGAAAATCAGGATTCAATCTTTGACTACCGTAGATCAATAACTCGGTGTACAGGGACAAGCCCTTATGTTTGATTTCCCCACTGGCCACCCGGTCCTGTCATCCATCACCATCACTATTGATATGTGCAGAAGTGGGACACACAGAGAATAATTTAGTCTTTTGAGGCGCATGTTGGCCCTAATTACCATTTCACCTTTGTGGTAACAGGGAAGCCTGATCGATGCAGCCCGCAGCTCTGTGCATTCAGCTGGAACCTGTTGGGATGAGGCTGCTATTGATCGGGCAGCCGTTTATAATACTGTGTAAATACTCTGCAGCGTGCAGGTGTGAAAGTGCAATTATGGGGTTAATAACACCCTAGAATCCATGACTGCTGTGTCATTATGAGAATTGTGTCTTTTTAAGAACACATACAAACATCTAATTACAGCTTCTACCAAGACGAATGCTCAGATCAGCTGTGCTCTTGGCCTGAAGTCACATTCATGGCTGCAACTGTTATGTTTGTTGTCAGTTCATCTATGTTTTTAAATGAATCAGGATTATTGCTGCAAATTGAGCCTCTGAAGTTATTTTGGTGGGAATCGGTACCTGTCAGAACTGATATCAAATCACTTTTTCATTCATCTGACAACTATTTAAGCTATAATTTTGGCAGTTTCATAATATTTAAAAAAAGGAAAAGTTCTTATATGTGAATTGTCTTCTAAAAGTGCTATACAAATAAAGTGATTTTTATATGTGTTACTCTTTTTGCATAGTTGATAACCTTTGAAATGTTTGCCATTGATTGATTAGTTCTCATGGTTTGATTAATTTTCAGACTTGTCAAAATTAATGAGAAATGTCTGTTTAAAGGCGACAGTGCTGAGAATAGTGCTTTCATGTTGCCTACAGGTCTGTAATGAACCAAAGAAAATTGTAGTCGACTGAAATCGTAAAAAAAATAAAAATAAAAATAAAATGAAATCTTGTTCTTACCTGTAGATAATCTTCTAAACCTCAAAACCAGTCCGCAGCTTTGAAAGGCATCTTTAAAATAAATCACCAAAATTATGACATTCATCAGAACCAGAAACTGTAAAAACAAAAAGACTTGACAGATGTTAAACTCTTCCAGCAGTCCTCAAACTAAACATGTAAGATGTACTGTTCGGAAATTTAATCAAATGTAAGCAAAAACAACTGCGGTGTTTCATCAAAATCCCTTTATTCTACATGTTTCATATCAAAATTCTGCAATAATATGATGTTTGCACCAGATTCTGTAAAACAAAAGGGGCTCCTCAGCACAACTGAGGAGTCATGAGTCAGCTGTGATCGACAGTTACATCACAAAAATGTGAGTTAAATATGTAGAGGTTGCAAAAATGTAAGTCGTAAAATAACCAGAACATTTTCTAATTTTTCTAGAGCAAATAATTAAAGAAATTCATGTTTTGTTTCTGTTGTTGTTGTGTGATTTATGGCATTAAAAACTGCACAGAGGGCATGTTTTAGTTCTCTCTCCTTCTAGTCATGGTGGTTCTCTTTCCATCGAGGTGCAGGACTTTATATCACAATGAAGAATGAGTCCACAGTGTGAAAAAATGTGACCGGAGCAAAAACAAAAAAGAAAGATTCTCGAGGGTTCAGAGGGTTAAACAGCAATATGTTTGCATTTGTACTGTAAAATAGATTCAAGTCATTTAACATCTATCTATTCAGTTATATTACAGACAATAAAAGTGCAGCGAGAAAGAAAAACATCCATCCATCAGAGATGAGTTGCCTCTCTGTGTTGTTCCAGACTGTCCCTGCATTGACCCTTGTTGAGGAATTGTAAACTTATTAATTTTCTCTCTTTCCTCTCCCTTTACCCCATCCCCTCTGATTCTTTTCCTATTTTATCCTTCTCCTCTGCTCTTTTATCCACTTTTCTTATCTCCCCCACCATCCTCCCATGAATCCCTCCTATCCTTTCATCCCCTCCTCTCTTTCTTCTTCCTTTCTCCTATTTCCTTCTTCCACCTTTCCCACCAGAAATTCCCCAACGAGGGTTTGGCCAACGTGGTGCGAAACGTCTTCGACTTCGACTCGTACAACAAAGACATGCGGGAGGTTCTGATCGAGGCGCTGCACAAACACGGGATTCCCATCGGAGCCAAGCCCAGCTCCGTCAAACTGGCTAAGGAGTAAGAAACCAGGAGACGCCAGGACAGAAACACTCACACACCCAGACACGTATAGAGACAGTCGGTCAGGGCTCAGATTAGGTCAGTGGATAATCTCACCTCAGCATCTGTTGCAGTTATGAATCTGAGTAGAATAAAAACATTTCAGAGCCTCATTAGAGGGTCATGTAACCGGTTCCCACTCAGATAAAGATAAGATAGAACTTTATTAATCCCCAAGGAAATTACGTAACTTTGAATAAATGCTTTGATTAATATAATAGCAACAAGATATACTTTACTGAGAATAAAACTAGATATGGAAGGTGATAAATACACTCACATTCTGTTGTCAGTGGTCAGCTTTGGTTGTCTAAAAGAGATCTGAAGGATCTGAAGCTGCCAAACTAGAAACCCTTCATTCAATTAAGAGATGCACAACTATCAATTAAAACTCTCCTGTCTTGCTGTTTCCTGGTTTGTACATCAACTCCTCTCCTCGCTTCTTAGTTCCTCCCACCAGAGATGCGACCAGAAGAAGCGAAACAACAAAATGGAACATCTTCACCTCAAATCTGACATTTAAAAGGCACATCTCATTTCACTCATTCAGCCTCCTTCCATCACACAGGACGTCTCAGTTCCTAAAATGGGTCTGAAGGATCGAAGGATCCTCAATGGAGTCTTTAGAAAGAGTTGTGACGCACAGCTGGAATATACAAACCATGTCAGGAGCAGGACTGACTTTCGATATTGCATAGCTCCCCTTTGTGTGCCACGACTGTTCTATACTTCACAGTACATGTGAATGTCAAACAAAAATAAATGACATTTGTTCATTCTGGTCACATTTTGCCACGTTGTGAGTTGAAGAGAAGTTTATACTGTACGTTGTTGTGAAGTTCTCACAGAGATCAGAAAACACGGTGGTAGGTTGTAACGAAACAATAGACGGAGTAATTTGACTGATGTTGCTTTAAAAACAGCAGCTCCGAGGTGAGGATGTGGGATTTGGTCTGACGCCTCTGCTCGCATCTCTGCTGGATCGGACTCATGTGTGAGTTGATGTACAAACCGATAAACGAGAAGAGTTTGGTGGTTGTTGTGCTTTACATGATACTAGCTGAGCTCTTGAAAGAGGAAGACAATTCTGTAGCAAACTTCAAATGGAGAACCATTTGTCTTTCAGGCTGCTGCCCCTTTTGTTTTTTTTTGTTTTGTTTGATTAAACTAGAAATCTATCAGAAAAAATGTTAAAATATTAAAACCTAATTTAGCCCAACCCTGTCTCACAAAATAATACAAATAAACTGCATTCTTATTTGAAACATCTGTATTTTCTCGCCAACACTAACCGCTATGACAGAACACTTTCCAGTTTAAAGTCCATGAAGGAAGTTTTGTTTTTGACACTTTTTTTTACAATAACTACACGTTAGTAGCTCGAGCACCAACCTACTTGGTTAGATTTAAGAAAATGTGATGATTTCATGACATTTTTATAGCTTCTGTTCCTTTTCTGGGATACAAGAGCGACAGTGAAGCAGTGAAATACACAGAAAAGATGTAGGATGTAGTCGTCATACGTCACCGACAGATGTAATCCAGGAGAAAAGATGTTTCCCTCCAAATTGAGAGATGCAGTTTAGCTGTAGGAGAATCACATTTTCGATTATCAATCATTTGCCAGATATTTTAATGTTTGAGATTATTTTAACGTTCAATTGAAAAGAAGTCACTACATGACAAAAACGGAGTGAAGTCGACATTGTTTTTGCTGAACTAGTATATTTCAAACGTTTCAAATACACAGTTAGATATTAAAGCAAACAAAACACAATATTTCAATCACTTTTGAACCATCCAGAGGTCCCAAAATTGTCCCTCTGAAGCTCTGCGACCGGTTTTTGATATTGAAAAATGCCTTTTAAAGAGCCTTTTCTGGACGCTTATCAGCAGAAAGTGGTTGGTGGGAGATTAGCGGTTCTGTGGTGAACTGTTATCGGCTCTACTTGGAACCCTTCTTGCTGAGAGCGTTGCTGTTAATGTAACTTTAATGTATTTCTGAGTGTCGGGCAGTAAAATCCTGACATACTTGAAATCGGCTGATGTTGCCTTCAGCCTTACGATTGGTTTCAGACCGAGTTAAAGTGTGAGGCATCCATGAGGTCGGCTCACCGCCTCCTGAACTAATCAACGTCTCCATCGTTCACATACCTCAATTTTATTTATAATTCAGATTCTAATATCCACCACATTGTCTCCTCATGTACAGCTTTGTCTTTAAAATAAAGGAAAATATTTGTTTCTCCTGTCTCCTGTGGTTTTATTTTAAAGTATCCCGTTTATAAACTGGGTTTTTAACTTTATAAGAACCCAGCAGGGCAGAAACAAGTATTTTCCTTCAAAGTCTACACAATTGATTCCATCTCAAATCAGCACATTTTGAAGAACAGCTTCTGCTCAGTCATCCCGGATTTGCCTGAATTTTTTATCACATGAAATATAGATATTTATAAAGCTATTTGTGAAATTTTAGGTACTTTTTGATATGAATGTATATATTTTAAACAGGGTGTTGGCCCACTTTCTACATGTTTTGTATCTGTGGTACAACTTGTCATATTTGCTTAATCAGTTATGGAAGCTCAACAAAAATAACTTCTTTTTTTTTCATTTTTATGAACAAGTATTTTATATCACAAAGTATATATCCTTTGTATGTATTATTGTAACATGCAGGTATATATGGTTTAGAAAATATCAGTCGTTGACTTCTGCATGACTTTTCCAAGGATGGGACTCTTTAATGGCAGCTTCATTCTTTTTTCATATTTCAACTCATCCATAATCAGACTATTTAATGTCCAACATAGCAGACCCTTAACCAATGAGATGATCAGAACTAACTGAAGATTTCAGGCTTTTATCTTTAATAATTGTTGAGATATTTTTGCTGAAACATACTTTCAAAGTGTGAAAAACCTCTTGGAAGTGTTTTTGGAAAAAATAATCTGAAAATATTTTTTATATCAGTCTAAAATTTCACAGATACCATTTTAAATATCCAGAGTTTATGATACTAAAAAAAACGTTTCGAGCAAGTAGTGGCTCTTTCAGTGACTTTGAAGCCCATCTTGAACAGTTTACATCCAACTAGTTGCTTTCTCCACATCTTATGTACATAAAAGCAAATATTTTGTCTGTTGATTTCCACTTTTGGACATGGAAAACAAGAAACAGCCTCTCCAATGTGTCTTGCTGCTCTTCCATTCATAGAAATATTTATGGTTAGCGGACCGTCCGTCCTCCAGCTCCTCTTCCGAGCTCCCTGGAATGTCTGTGTTTTGTGGTTTTTGCTGCATCTCTCAGCCCACCTGCAGCCAATAGGACTTTGGCCTCAGTCCAGCTGTGATTCATGGAAACACCAGTAAACATCTGGTCAGACACAACAAGCTGAACTCGTGGACGCTTCTCCAGCAGATATAGTGGGATCAGATTAAAGCCTTTGTTTGCAAAGATCCAGCTCTGACCAGAATAAATCCTCCATCTGAAATCATTTACTTGTTCAAATAGGATCGGTTTATTTTCATTCATGCGGCCATTCATAATGGTTACACCCACAGCTTTAAAAAAAACAACAACAATATGTGCACACAGGGAACAAAAGCAGCCACATGCTATTTATTTGTGCCAAAACTCACAACTTACTGTATTTATAGTATCAGGAAATCACATTATTTTAGGCAGCTGTCACAATGTGACCTTCTGTCTTTAGGTTGCCGCTGCCGGAGGTGAAGATGACGGGATACTGGACTGTAAACCAAGGAGTCAACGCTCGCCGCAAAATGCTGTGTCCAACTGAGACTCACCCCATAGGCATCAAGGTAAACACTCTGATAAACTGTATTTAGACAGATTTACAACAGTGTGGTGCAACAAGTCCTAAATATTTAGGATCAACTTGAAAAAGTGGTTTTCTATATCATAGTCAGATACAATTTAACCTGTGTGTCTCTGCTGCTGTTACGCTTTTCTTCACTAATTTTCACTGCAATATAAAGTCCTGCACCTCAATGGAAACAACACAACCAACTAAAACGTGCCTTCTGTGCCGTTTTTGATGCCATAAATCACAACAAATTTACAAAAACAAAAGCTGCATTTCTTGCTTTAGAAAAAAGTGGAGATTGTTACATTTTGGCAGCCTCTACATTTTTAGCTCTACGCTGCTCTTTAAATAGAGAAAGATGTGTCACCATGCTGAATGTACGCTTCTTTCTTTTATTTTCTGCTCTGAAATGTTTTTTTTGCAGTATGACATGGTTAGAATGCCAAAAATGTTAAAATAATAATAAAAAATACAATTATTTCTTTGATTATTTCTTTTAAAATGTATTAAACCTGGAATCGAGTTGTACAACATTTTTCCAAGTGCCGGCAGTTTTTACCAATACTATAGAAAATTACATATTTCCATTATTGTTTTAGCTCTACAATTGTCTCGTCTCTGCTCTGCTTGCAGTTCACCTGAAAATTCCCAGAATTTTTGTCACGAGTCTTGGTCAATGAAATATTGCGATTTTAAGTTTAGATTTTTTTATTTTTTTATTTTTTAATAAACACAACTGATTGTCACACATCCATCCATCATCTATACACCGCTTAATCCTCACTAGGGTCGTGGGGGGCTGGAGTCTATCCCAGCTGACTCAGGGTGAAGGCAGGGGACACCTGGACAGGTCACCAGTCTATCACAGGGCTACACTTAGAGACAGACAACCAAGCACACTCACATTCACACCTACGGACAATTTAGAATCACCAATTAACCTCAACATGTTTTTGGACCTTGTGGGAGGAAGCCGGAGAACCCGGAGAGAACCCACACTGCACGGGGAGAACATGCAAACTCCACACAGAAAGATCCTGGGTGTCCTAACCGGGACGCGAACCAGCGACCTTCTTGCTGCAAGGCGACGGTGCTAACCACTGAGCCCCCTTGCAGCCCGATTGTCGTACATAATTAGTACAAAGTCCATCAAAAAGTTGCTGCTATGTGTTTTTACATTTTCCATGTGTGATAAATGCTGTAATTTTGTAGATTTTTTTTTCTTCTTCTTTTTTAAACCCAAAACATGACGGGTTACAAAAAGGTATGACATTTCTCTATAAACATGTTAAACTACTCTAAATCTCCACAAGAAGACCGTTGAAAAGCTGCTAATGATGATACCGATGCTCTTCTGCTGCTGGAAACTTTGAAACTTTGAACTAGTCACATTTGAGGTCCACTGTACCTTGGATGAACTATAACCAACCACAGCTGTTTTGTAGCAGTGAGTAACCAGTTAATCAGCCTCTCCGTCTCACAGGGGGATGCATGTCTGACACACAGCATCATTTGTGAATATCACTGTTTTTTACCTGCAGCTTGGCAGCGACTGTCAGATCTGCACTTTCAGTAGCAGCTCTGTGATGAGAATCCAGCAGCAGGAACACAGGTTTACAACTGCAAACGTCTGACAGCAGCGTTGCTTTCCTGCTTTGTGAGTGTTTGTGCGGCTCTAACAGTGTGACCGGTGTTTGCAGGGTCCAGTGTTTCTGCGGGTCCAGGGTTCTCCATGCAGCCGACAAGAGAGCAGAGCTTTGAACTTCAGCGAGGAGAAAGCGCACTGGCAGATTCCCATGAATGAAGTCAACATCATCTGCGACGTCGTCACCAAAGACGGTACACAAAACACACACTTTTAATAAAATACACTGTCTGGTTCTAGGTTTAGGGTTTGTTCAGCGTTATATTAGAGGATCAGTGGATGAAATATGTAATGAAGGATTGATTTTAGGATAAAATATACAGGGACAGGATATTAACAAATGAGACTTATGAAGTCTCCTGGCTTCTCTGTGTGTGTGAGTGCTCAACTAAACACACTTCAAATAAAGGATAAAGCCAGGAGATGCCCTTTAAGGTATATAACAGAACCAAAAAACAGCTGCGTAAGAGTTAAAACACAGCAAATNAAAACCAACATGTACAATATTTTTCCAAGTGCCCACAGGTGTTATCAACACTGGAAAAAATGGAGGCGCTACCTGTTAAAGATCTTTTACTATTTAAACATTTTTACAACCTCTACAAACTTTGCTTCTTCTTTTTTTTTTTTTTTTTAACTTTACTCTGCACATCAGCTGTAGCTGTTTCACCATGCTGAGTGTATCTTCCGACAACTTGCCCCTCCGTATACCGTTTTTGAGCCATGTTGAATTTATTTTATTGATCAAGTACACTGTAAAAAACCAAAAAAGGCAAACTGTAGCAACAATAGTGCCAGAAAAAATTTGGTTAAATAAAGTTGAGTACCACAATGTTCAAAAACTAACAACTGGCAAATATCTATAAAATAATGTTGTTTTTAGCTGATTTAAATACAGTATAATATTGTCAAATCTATGTAAAAATGTAGATTTGTTTATGTGGACAGTTGTGGCCTGTTTTTTACAGTCAACGTGTAGAATAATATTTTTTTCTCTCGGGTTTTAGTGGATATCTGTAATTTAATAAAACAGGGAAATCTGTCATTTACATTTATTTTTTATTTTCTACTCAGTCTGTCGTCTTGTCTCCTCTCTGCTTTGTGGAAACACTGCCTGCAGTTCAGCCAAAAAAATTCCAGGATGGTGCAAACCGTTCATTTTTGTAAAAACATTTTTAGTGAGACATGATGTAAAATAAAGCAATTTTAATAAAATACCACAATTTTAACCTCTTAAGATCACATTTTGGGTTATATTACCACAGTGGTTAATTTTTTTTTTAATTATTATTTTAGTATTATTGTTTTATTATTGTTATTTATTTTATTTTTATTTTTCAGATTTTTTTTAAATATTTTTTTTAATATATTTTTATTTTCTTTATATTTTTTATTTTCTTTGCTATTTGATCAGACCAAATAGCAAAGAGAAATAAAAAATGCATATCAAACAAGAGCTTGAGTCTTCAGAGNAGGAGATGCCCTTTAAGGTATATAACAGAACCAAAAAACAGCTGCGTAAGAGTTAAAACACAGCAAATTCCAAGATTGTCATCACAAATCAGACAACAGCAAAATATCAGCAACACGAGTCAGTCAGAATTAGGGCTGCAACTACTCATCATTTTCATTTAATCCCAATCAATTTATTACTTATTTAGTTTATACAATGTCAGACAACTGTGAAAGTTGCCTGTCAATGTTTAATAGAATAATATTAGAATATAGATAGAATATAGTATTATATGGATAGAATAAAATATGTAGAAAATCACAGAAGATATTCACTTTACTGTCAAAGAGGAATGAAACCAGAGCATATTCACATTAATAAAGCTGCATTAAAAGAATTGACTGTAATTTCCCTTTTTGGGGCAATTTTTGAGTCGTTTTAAAAACATTTGTATCATTTTGAACAGGTTTCAAGACATTTTGGACAATTCCTGAGTCATTTCCGACAAGTTTTGTGACGTTGGGATGAGTGCTGAAAAATCCCTAATGACAAATGTCTTGTTTTGTCCAAAGATATTCAGTTTACTGTCAGAGAAGAGGAAAGAAACCAGAAAAATTTCACATTTAAGGAGCTGCAACCAGAGAATTTAGACATTTTTGTTTATTAAAATGATAGTCAAATTGATGAATTGATCAGCAAAATATTTGGTGATTAATTTCAGATTTTGTTAAAGTGACTGTTAATGTCATTTTGGGCAGTTTCTGAGTAGTTTCGAACAAATTTTAGGATATTTCAGACAATTTCATTTTCAACAAGTGGTAAAAAATATCACCTACAAAGCTCTCCAAAACCTGGCTCCCCCCTACCTGACTGAACTCCTCCACTGGCACACTCCCACCCGCACCCTTCGATCAGCGGACACTAGATTCCTGTCCACCCCCATTCAGACCAAATGCCGGATCTGGGGTGACCTGGAGCTTTCTCCATTGCTGCTCCCATCCTCTGGAACTCGCTCCCCATAAGCATCAGAGAATCCTCCTCACTCTCCATAGTCAAGACATCCATAAAGACATATCTTTTCAACACTGCCTACAACTCATAATTCTCCTTTTTCTTGATGGTCCTGTCCCATTATATTTTATCTATTTAACCTGTTATTTTTGTTGGTTTGTTTTGTTTTTACCTACTTTGTAAAGTGTCTTTGAGTATCTTGAAAAGCGCTATTTAATTATTGTTATTATCATTACTATTATTATTATTATTATTATTATTATTATTATTATTATAGATTAATATAGCTGGGTGTCATCTGCATAACAAAGGAAATACAAAGACATAAAACCATCAGGATTTAAGAGACAAATAAAAACACAGCATGGCCAAAACAAAACAAAACAGCCACGTTCAAAAAGTATAAATAAAATGGACTGAAATAAAAGACAGTTCAAAAGAAATTCAATTTCAGTAATATAATCAATAAAAGTGTGTTTAAGAAGCGGCTAAAAGAGATTGCTGACTACATATACATCCTTTGACTTGTGTGTGATATGCTGAAGCTCTGCCCCCTGCAGCAGCTGAATTTAAATCTTAACTCGGTGTGTGTTTTCCAGATGTTGTGTACGTGGCCACCTGTAACCCCGTATCGCTGTACTCCATGAAGGAGCGCGGCGACACCATTCACTGCATGGAGCTCTACGACGTTTTCCCCCGAACCATCAGCGGCGTCTGGCAGCCGTTTGTTAGCGTTGCTCCTCTGGGGAATCCTCTGGACGGACAGGTGGTGCTGCACGAGGAACAGGTAACCAGAACACCAAGACAAGCCTCATGAACAAACCGTCATTGATTGGATGAAATTAGCTTCAGATTTGGTATCGAACAGTATTTTGCTGCATTTCATTGCAAGTAAGCGTGTTTTTCTTTCTTACAGTGTGTGATTTATGAGCAAACTGCCCGTAAATGCCCATTTAAAAAGATAATGCATCTCATTATTTCACTTAAAACCCTCAAAACATCATGTAGGATCTTCATTTTTATCTTTTTTAAGTAAAGAACTGAAGGGAGCTCTTTGCAGTTAGCAGTGCATATGAACATGTCAACACTTTTAAAAGATAATAGTGAATGATTAGTATTTGTGGCGCGATAAACTTTTGGTTTGTAACCTGCCTTGTTCAGGGTGGTTTGCGGTTTTCTTCACTGTGTGTATGGTTGCACAGCTAAGCCCACTTTAGTTAAAGGATGAAGACAAGAGGTGCCCTATGAAATATTCATTAGAAACAAAACAGAGCTGCCTACATGTTAAAACACACCACATTTAGATAGATGTTCAGCTGGGAGCAATCATCAAGTTTAGACATTTATTTTAAAATTAGAATGTTACTCAAACTGGTGAATCAATATCCAAATAGTTGGTGACTAATTTCATCCATTCGTCCATTCATTATTTATACACCGCTGCCTTTTACATCCCATCCACTGATAGGTGCAGCTATAACAACATAATCTGTGTTACTCATTGGCTGATTGGTGCAAATGTGTGCTACGGTCATCAAAACGTTTCTCCACAGCGCCCCTAGTGGTCAAAAGCCCTGAAAGGTAGCTGTAAGAAAGTAGAAAAAACATAAGTGATCACACAGCAAAAGCTCTAAAAAGAAAATGCGTCTGACTGTGTAGTTCTGGTGTTATTTATTGAAACACATCTGTATACTCGCTTGTCGACTGTTGGTCCAGTTTCTTCTATCCTATGTCCTTGTTTACCGACACATGACAGTTGCTGTTTTTTTAAGTCTATTTTTCAGAGGATGACCACAGATTCCTGACGGATTTAAAATAGCCATTGCACAAGCCTGTTTCCTAAAATGTCCAGCAGTTCGCGGTTGTTTTTACCCCGTAAGACCAGGATTAGGCCGGTGACAGCACAGCGGCGGACGAGAACAATGTTGCATGTTGGCTTCTTTCGCCGAACCACAACACTTTTGCACAGCTGGTGCACATTAGGCAAGAGGAGGACTTCTAAAAATACCGATGTGATGGATCATGTTACGTCTGTCTAAAAATGAAGAGGTCCAGACGACATGAAGTTCACTCGCAGGTCATCGGCCTTCCAGGAAAACCATCACAAACACACTCGTGTATATAAATCCTGCAGAAATCTCAGGTTCTGCTTCGCACCTAAGTGCACGCGCAGAAATGAGAATGCTGCATTCAGGGACATTGCAGAGAGTGAAGAAGCATCCACTCGCTCCCTCTACCAGCGGTGTATGTTTAGAACCAGGAAATGGGGTTTGCCCTCTCCGAATAGCTCGGGCAGCCCTCAGCTCGTGTATGTGAGGAATGGGAGGCCATAAGGAAGCCATTAGCGTGAAGCAGAGTAGCCGAGGCCGAGGCCAGCTCCCCCGTGGCTCCTTCTCATAAAACTCAATTGAAGATGAAGCCTCATGCGTCACAAAGCCTTTTTGCACAGTTCGTCCGACACACATGCAAGACGGCGTCTGACTTTGAATTGAGTCAACTTGCAGGGCAGCGACCACGTTGGCTGTGTTTCGCAGAATGTCACATTCAGGAGGGTTTTGTCTGGAGAAGAGCGCCCTCTGTTGACTGCCAGACAGAAAACATGCAGGAACTTGAAATATTTGGGTCCGAATTCAGGGTGGCAGTTTAATAGGCACAAATTACACAAAGTGGACACACAGTGTGTAGTTGATGTTTTTCTTCATTGTTTGGATGGAAACTGCATTCAGCTGTGTACAGGCACACTTCCTTTTATCCATTACATAGCATTCTTAATTATCTAGTCAATGTTAATGTTTTTTTTTAATCCTCTTAACCCCAAGCAGATTTTTAGTCACTGTCGCCTCATTTTTCACTGCAATGTAAAGTAAAATTCACTCAAAATTTAAAGACTGTTTATGTCAGAATGGAGTCATAGAACCAAAAGTAATATATTGACTTGTCCTAGAAGCATGCAAACATGTGAACGTAGTTCTGAAAAGATGTAGAGATCCATTATGTTAACATTTGGACACTTTGGGAATACAATTTTTTTTGTGTGTGTCCTGTTTTTTTCTCACTGTGGGCTCATTTTTCACTGCACCTCTATGGAAGCAGCACAACCATGAAGGAGAGAGAACTCAGAAATGTCTTCTGTGCAGAATGACAGTTATAATGCCATAAATCCTTAAAAAAAAAAAAGAATAAAACCAACATGTACAATATTTTTCCAAGTGCCCACAGGTGTTATCAACGCTGGAAAAAATGGAGGCGCTACCTGTTAAAGATCTTTTACTATTTAAACATTTTTACAACCTCTACAAACTTTGCTTTAACCCTAACCCTTTACTCTGCACGCCAACTGTAGATGTTTCACCATGCTGAGTGTATCTTCTGACAACTTGCCCCTCTGTGTACCGTTTTTGAACCATGTTGAATTTATTTTATTGATCAAGTACACTGTAAAAAAACAAAAAAGACAAACTGTAGCAACAATAGTGCCAGAAAAAATTAGGTTAAAAAAAGTTGAGTACCACAGTGTTCAAAAACTTTAACAACTGACAAATGTCTATAAAATAATGTTATTTTAGCTGATTTCAATACAATAGAATATTGTCAAATCTATGTAAAATTATAGATTTGTTTATGTGGACAGTTGTAACCTGTTTTTTACAGTCAACGTGTAGAATAATATTTTTTCTCTGGGATTTTAGTGGATATCTGTAATTTAATAAAACAGGGAAATCTGTGAAATTATGGTTAAAAACAGTTTTTCAAGAAAATTGTTGTTATTTACATTTATTTTTCATTTTCTAGTCAGTCTGTCGTCTTGTCTCCTCTCTGCTTTGTGGAAACACTGCCTGCAGTTCAGCCAAAAAATTCCAGGATGTTGCAAACTGCAAATTTTTAAAGTGAGACATGATGTAAAATAAAGCAATTTTATTAAAATACCACAATTTTAACCTCTTAAGATCACATTTTGGGTAAAATTACCACAGTGGTTAAATTTTTTAAAATTCTTATTTTATTATTCTT